ACGGGCAATTTTATCGAACTAATAAACGGCAGGAGGCAAAAGAAAAAAAGAGAAAAACACTAGAGAGAGAATGAACGAACGAAGAATGAAAAAAAAAAAACAATTTGTCTCGGGTCTGAAAACAACGAATCAACCCAATAAACTTTTAACCCTTTGCGATCACGTGACTAACCACCAGAACAAAAAATCATTCTACTCGTGCATTGTACAAAGATAAAGAAGAAAGGGCGAACAATGGTGAAACAATTTGTCGACGATCTTTATCAAGAATCTTCAAAAGCAGTAAGATAATGAAGAGAAGGAGACTTAATGGTACATTCGACTGCTGCGAAAAATCAAGATTTATATTCCAAAATTCAATAGATCGAAGACCAAAGCTTCACGTTGGAAAATATTTTAAAAGACACTGTACGATGGACAGGGTACGAAATTTTTCCATAAAATCAAACACGGGAGGAAGCAATAAATCTTTCTTTATTACTCATAATCTTACGTCAATACGATGTTACACGTTCGATAAAGATTAATTTCGACCAGCGTGATGTCTGTAGAAAAGTTAAATGCAATCGCTACAGCTCGTTAATCTTTTCGACAAAATTTCAGATAGATTACAGATAGAACAAGAAACAAAATGGAAAAAGAAGAAGAAGAAAGCACGGTGTATAGAGGAAACAGCGTTCGATCAGCGTTCGTGGAAATAGGCATTTCGTTCGCTTTCAATGAACTCGAATCGTCGAATCGCGCCATTCAAGCAGACCTGCTTCCTGATTGACGACTCGCGTCGCGGTAATCGCTCAGTCGACGAGCACGAGCGAACCAGGTGAGGCCCGGACCGGCTATCATCTTTCCCTTTGAATTGTTCGTCGCTACCTGCACGCGGTCTGCCTGTTCCACAGACACGCTCGCGTGCCATCGAATCAATTTTCGTTGCCGATCGAAAGTCAATCTTCGAAATGAACGTCGAAAGGTCAATATTGAAACGAGAAACTCTTGGAGAATTCATTGAGACGACGAGACGTCGTCGTTGCGAGAGTACGCGCAATATTTTGGAAAAATAAAAGAGACAAGAAAAAAAGAAAGTGCAGCAAGCGAGGATGTTCAGTCGCGCGTATTGTCGAGACAAGAGTCACTGGTTTCGTTGTTGGATTTTCAGTTTTCGCAAAGGTGAATGGATAACGGGTGGCTTTCGGGTAGAAAGCTCGATCCATTGTTGGCAACGCGATTTTTATTTGTTGTGTAAATTTGACAGACGTAGTGCTTTCCGTCACAAATTTATATTCGTCTGCTGAAGGTGACGTAAAAATCGGAATATTTGTTGGTCACAGTTTCATTTAATAAAATCGTATCATTTTTTTTTTTTTTTGTATTATATAAATCATATTATATCTGTATGATTATATGACTATATCATACGATTATGTAAATCATTATATTTGTATTACATTTGCAATTAATTGATTCGTATCTGTAATTAATTCTTTCAATAGCAAGCGGTGTGTACGATGAACATTTTATTAGAGGTCCTTCAGTTCCAAGGATTATTATTCGAATTGAAAAGGAATTATATGATCATCATTAAATTGATGAAATATTAGTAATTTTCCTATCACAAACATCCGATATTGTGGAAAGTTTACCTTTTCTAGTTGTGTCTCTGTTCTAGCTACCTGTTGTGCAACAAATTTATCGATAGATTAATAAAATCTATACTAATCTTTTGTCAAGCCCTAACGTATTACGAAAAACAAGCAATGGAGAATTATAGTCGATTCGTCGGGAGTGTAATATTCCAAGACGAAGAGAAGCGACGATCGATCCAAAGCCGTTACGATTAGATATCCAACCGGTTCGTTCGTGACGTCGATCGTCATGCTCGATAAATACGACAATAATGAATCTCTCGAAGGTAGGTTTATCTATAGAATTGAATCACGATAGTGAATCAATCACCTCGAATGTGTGCCACGATGTCGAAATTAAATGAAAAAAAAGAGAGGGAGAGGATGAGGAATTATTCAGAAGCCTAATGAAAAGAAAAAAAAATGCGAAAAATCACATCGCTGAATTTCAATGATCGATTCTTATCAAAAAGTTTTTATCGAAGAAACATGGAAAACGTAGACAAAGCATTTCAGTTTCAAGAATAATGATAAAAGAAAAGAATATATTATCTCCTTCTTGTAATCGCAATATCAAAAGACAGAATTCAGTAGTTACAAATTGATCGAAGAAAGTTAAAAATAAATAAAGTGAGATAACGATCTATTCGTTAAATTTTGCAGAGAAGTTAACGCCGTAATCAAATCTGATAGAAATAAATTCTAATATAGGAAACAAACAGATGACCCCTCTGAGAAATTACTCCGCTGATAATGCCCCTCGTGTGGAAAAGAACAACGCTGGTTGCTCCTCGACAAAACTTCGTGTGCTTAGTTAGTTCCATTAAAAGGCTCGCATCGATCGGGTGTTCGCGAAATGCCTAATTGTCAGAACGCGTATAGTCTCGGATCTCGGAAAAGCCCATGGAAACCGTTTCGAATTCGCGGCGGTTGGAAGAGTGTTGCTTTGGTTTGGCTTTGGAGACGGCGGGACAACGCGCGCGCCGGGCAAAAAGACGGAAAAGAATCGACGATGCGTCGCATTCTACGACGGATGGGAAAGCAGCTGGATAGCGGGAGAGAGGTGAAGGGACAAAACGAGGCAAATCGCGGAGCACGAAGGTCGAGGGAAACTGGTTTTCCTCGACGAAAGAATGGCGCGACAGGATTGTATTGGATCGCGGAGGCGAGGGATGAACGGGAGCGACGACGGTGACTGGGGCCTCCAACGGTACAACGAAATACAAGAGGGTAGGGAAAGCGAACGATATCCATTCTCATTCCTCCGTGGGGAGTGTTGGAGATGTTGTGCGAACGAACCGCAGAGAAGACGCGAATACCAATGTATACACGCCGGCACGGGGAGCGTGTTACGCCTGCAACCTGCTACCACCAGCTTACATTCGCGCTGTAAGTGTTACCATGTACGCTACGGTGTGGCCATGTAGATTTATACCCGTTTTATTGCCCGTATCGCTGCGGCGTACTTGCTTTTACGAATACAGGGCGAACTGCCGTTGCCGCCCGGATTTTCGCCGCGCGATGGAATCTCGAACGGCGGACGCCGAGACGTCGTTGCAAGCAAGCACACGCGTGTCATCCGTGCGCGTTTTCACTCTTCTTCTTCTTCTTCTTCTTGCGCCGGTTTTTTGCGGTTCAGAGGCACGCGCGTGCGCTTAAGCGCGTATATCGGATTTCATGGCTGATCGGCTGATGAAATTGCGTTGCCAAGAATACGTGACTTAAAGGCAAGAGTGAGGATGTAGCAGGGGGTCGGAGTGTAGAAGGAGGCTCGGAGTATAAGAGAGCTTTTTTTTTATGAAGAACTCGATGTGAAATTGTTGGAGAAAGGAAATCGTGTGGAAATCAGTGTGGAGTAATGGTACCGGAGAGTGGAGGATTTATCGCTCGAGATATACTACTTCTCGGGCGTCTAACCTAGGCGACCTTCTTCTACTGCGACGCGAAGCAACGAGAAATATAGAATTTCGTCCGGACTTCGATTTTTTTTTCTTTTTTTAATGACAAATCGACGGAAATGCACGAACAGCTAGACGTGTTATGTTTTTATGTTTATAGTTCGATATAAATAAATATTTACGGCAGCAACTTGATGACACGGTGTTTTATAAAGTAAATTTCGATACAATATAACAAACGTTCCCTGGAAAAATGCAAACAAACATTGCGTTTTAATATATAACTCAATCCAACGTTGCAAAATCTCATTCGAAAAATAAACAAACAACGATACGAGTGTTAAAAAAACATTAAACATTCAAATCTATTAATTTTCCCAATAAGAAGAACTTATCGCTGATCGATGAATATTAAGCTTTAATAAAAGTGTATAATTTTGTATAATTTAATTAATTAATATATACAAAGTATATATACTGTAGAATTTCCTGAATCTAAGATTAACGAATGACTTGATATTCGCTTTAAAATTAGAAACATTAACGAGCGATGAAAGTGCAACTTGAAACGCGAATTATACATCCGAACGTTAGAACATAATTAATGTATTCTCGATTATACAGTCGTTCGATTAGACGATGGTAGACGTATCAAGTTTAAATTGAATAATGCCTGTTCTGCAAAATGAGCCTCTATTGCGCGATAACGCCTGCAACGATAATATGTAATTCAATTAATGTCGTTGGCGCGTGGGATTTGCTCGTTCGAGTTTCGTACTCTCGAACTACCACGTGTGCATCTCGTGTACTCACTCGGTTTTCCTTCCGGTATTCCTTCGCTTCTCGCTAATCTTCGTTCCCTCTATAATCCTCGTGTACCATACTATCAACATTTTCTTTTATCTCATCGTGGTTTTATATCACCCGGGTGATGCTCCAATTTATACATTTTTTTCAAGCGTTTTTGATATCGTAAAAAGTAGAAATGTTATACACGTTATAGAGCAAACTTTCACACTCGATGTTACGTAACATTACAACTTAATAAACTAGTTAATTAATTAATTAGACAATTGATGTACTTATCTTTTTAGTTCTTCCTTAGGGCACCGCAGGGAAAAATTACAAGAGTTTCTTCTCGAGTTACCTGCTTTTCGAGTCGAAAAAGAAATTCCGAGTTTTCCTGAAATTCGCTGAGACTAGCTGCATCGAGCGAAAAAGTCACGAAATCCTAATATTCAGTGAATATCCGACCGAATTGAAATTGCGTGATTGAAGTACGTTGCAAGTGTTAATAATTCGTCACATCGGTCCGGAAGGAGTGGAATAAGGTGACAGCATGGTGGAGGATACGTACCTGAGTGTTCCTGGTATATCCATAGCCCATAAACCTCTCGTCGTGCACCGGGACAATATCCTTCGCCACGTAGAATGGTTCGTAAAGGAATTCGAAGTTCGTCACATCGTGGCTGATGTACACCTTGCCGGTTTTTACGTTCCCGAAGTTTTTATGATTCGGTGAAGTATCTAGTATCCATCTGAACGAAAAAGAATATATATACATTATAAACACACGTACGAAGCTATCCGATTTTTATGAGGGGAATAAGAGAAAAAAAAAGAAAAAGAAATAGAAACTAATAAAATTGCTTGCAGAATTGAACCTTCTGAAATCTCTGGATTTTCTCTATTCCAATCTCGCTTTTATTTCGACAAACACGGAAATTTGTGACGTTCGAAGAAAATCTCGACACAAAGAAACAATGAAAATTTTGATATTTCCCTCGAATTTAACAGGTTTTATAAAAAAAAAAAAAAAAAAAAAAAA